GAAATGTGCACAGTACTACATAATGATATGGCCATTTCTGCTTCTCCCACCCTTACAGACAGTGAGTTCTAGATTCCAGTATCATTTGTGCCAGCCATGCTTCAGTTAACAATAGTCTTGATTCTGAAGTGGAAGGTTATGGTTCATGCCTCTCTTTCGGACTTATGCCAAAAGGTCTGGACTAACAACTCAGTAATGAAGGGTGCTGCATTGTTGGAGGTGTTGCCTTTTGTGTGAGGTGCTAATTCAGACCCTGTCTGCTCTTTGAAATGGATGTAAAAGATCCCACATTATTATTTTTATGTAGAGCAGGGGAATTATTCCTGGCATCCTGGTCAACATTTAACCACAATCAACACCTAAGAATAGATTATCTGGTCATCATCACGTTGTTATTTGTGGAAACATATGTGTGCAAATTGGCTGCTGCATTTCTGACATCACAACATTGATTTATCTTCAAAAACTAGTTCCATACCTATTCTGTACCTTCACTATAAGTGCTTTGGGTGACCTGTGGTCATGAAAGGTGCTTTATAAATATGTCCTTCATTATCCAGTGCAGTCACACCCTTCCAGTATTATTCATAGACTCTGTGATTCGATTTTGCATATGACTACGTTAACTACGGCCCAGCTCTCAGCTCCAACAGGTGTAGGTTCCAACTACCCCAGAGTCCATCCCAATGTCCCAGTCTCCACTCCAGCCACATATTCATTCATCTGCTTTATCCTCTTGTTTCTATGTGCACTTGCACACGATACCAGGACTAATCTGTAGATTAGAACATTTTAGTTCCTTCTGGCCAATTTCCTATGTAGCCAGATTCTGTTGCAGGACTGCATCTCTCTTGCCATTCATGTCGTTGGTAGCAAGGTGGATTATCGCTGCTGGCTGTCCCACTCCCCTCCTCACAGCATGCCCTGAAGCTGAATAAAAACCGAAAGAACTGCGGGTGCTGTAAATCAGGAACAAAAACAGAAGTTGCTGGAAAAGCTCAGCAAGTCTGGCAGCATCTGCGAAGAAAAATATCAGAATTAATGTTTCGGGCCCGGTGACCCAAGGAAGGATCTGATTTTTTCTTCACAGATGCTGCCAGACCTGCTGAGCTTTTCCAGCAACTACTGTTTTATGCCTTAAGTTGTCTTTGACCCCCTTGGAGATAGTAAGAACTGCCAATGCTAGAGTCAAAGATGACCCTGGCCTCAGTGAGAGAACATATCATCCTGGATTCATGTCATGAGATGCAGAAATGCATGTCTGTTCTCTATCTATGGAATCTCCTATCATTACTGCACTTTCAGTCTTCTTATAACCCCCTGTACAGCTAACCCCCTGTGATGCCATGGACCTACTTTTGGCAGCATTCTCTAGGTGATCTATCATTTCCATTGGCATCTACAACTGAATATTAGTTGGAGGCATAGATGCGCTTAAGGGTCTCTTGCACTACCTCCCTGTTTCTTTCTGACCACCTGGCGGTCACCCATTCTCTTTCTCCCTGCAGATTCTTAAGGTGTGGAATGATCCATCAATAAATGTGCTATTGAAAAACTTCACACTCTCACGCACTGCTGTGAGGCCAGCTGCTTCTTAAGCTCAAACCGAGGACGTGAAGCTGCTGCAGGTGATGACACTTTCTGAACTGTTGGTTACTGAGGACACAGGAAGCATTCTGGAGTTCCTACATGGCTCAGGACATTCACTCGAGATATTGGAGTTGTCCTGCCATTTCACTATCTATTAGATAAGCAATATTAATACTTAACAAAAAGACTCACCAGCACCTAATCACATCACTTCTTCTGTTGTCACTAAAATACAGGGAAATGAAATATTTTCCTTAATCCTTATTGTCGGAAAGTTTAGAATTCAATTTCACAGCTCCTTAAGCTAATTTCCTTACTTAGAAGGGAGTGAAACATGCTTCAGCAATACGACAATACTCATAGCATCATAGAGTCATACAGCACAGAAACAGAACCCTTTGGTCTAACTCGTCCACACCCATCAAGCTTCCCAAACTAAACTAGTCACACCTGCCTACGTTTGGCCCATATCCATCAGAATATCAATTAATTAACTCAGAATCAATTAACTCACAGCTTCCCTGTGATGTCAGTTTCATTTTCTTTATTGTCTTTTATTTCAGTAATCCCAGTCTGCTTCGCTGTGATCCCAGTGTGGTGTACAGTGGTCCCAGTAGGCTTCACGATGAGCTGTGTCTGCTGTACTCTGATCCCGCTCTGCTTCACATTCATCCCTCTGTTTCACATTCCTCTAAGTCTTCATCACAGTCAGTCTAACTTACTTTACACTCATCCTGACCTGCCTTATCCTCCTCCTAGTCTGCTTCACAGCGGTCCTGGTCTGCTTCACAGTGATCTCAACATACTTCACTGTGATCCCAATCTGCTACAACATTTACTGACTTGCTGCACAGTGACCCCCAACCAGATTCATCGGGATCCTGACCTCTTTCAGTGATCCTGATGTGCTGCGCATTCTTGCTGATCTACTCTACAGTGATCCCGACCTGCCTAACAGTGATCCTGGACTGCTTCACTGTGATCTCAGTCTGTTACATCTTGATCCCAACCTGCTTCATTGTGATCCTGAGTGGGTTCACTGCCTTACAGTGATGCCAGTCTGATTCATTGTGATCTTGGCCTTCTCCTCAATGATCCTGATCTGGTTCACACACCTCCCAGTCTGCTTCACACTGATCCTGCCACACTCTCTTCCCAGTCTCAGTCTGTAGTTTGGTGTGGTCAGTGATTATTAAAGTTTTTATGTGGGATGAGTCTCAGCTGGAGGCAGTCACTGAGGAATGTGATGTGGCTGTGGAAACTTATTTTAGAAAATACCTTGTCAAACACCAGGAGCGACAATGAGATTAATGACATTGGACAAGAAAAAAAGACTGGAAGAGAAATCCCGTCAGAGAGAGGAGCAGAATTTCTTCAAGGTGGACATATCTGGAAGAGATGCGGCATTGAGTTAAGTATTAAATAAAAGCCCCAATAGTAGCTAGTTAGTCTCCTAGGCTACCCTGTTATCCACTTCTTTGTTGTCCAACTGTTCACTCTCTCTCTTTGGGCTCTATCTCCACCTATTGTTCACTCCTTAGCGCACACCTCCCCTCCCCCCACTCCATCTGCATTAAAAAAAAACTTTTCCCAGCCACCATCAATTCCGAGAAAGGGTCATTGGACCTGAAATGCTAACTCTGATTTCTCTTCACAGATTCAGCCAGACCTGCTGACATTTTACAGCAGTATCTGTTTTGGTGTCTGATTTCCAGCATCTGCAGTTCTTTCCATTTTTATTCTGGAGCAGGTGGGACTTGAATGCAGATCTCTCAGTCCAGGGGTCGGGACATTACCCATGCACCACAAGAGTCCCTTAGATAATTCTTTCACAACCAACCTCCTAATAAGCAGCAAGTCAGAATACCTTTGTTGCCATTTTCCTCTGTAACTTGGGCTTTAAAAATAACCTGAGTACTAAACCTTACAGTGTATTTAAGTTAACAGGTGCTAGCTAGGTGATTAAGCACACTGGAAGCCTTTTCAAAACCAATTAAAGGAACCCTATTGGCTTCCAGTTTCTTCCACTAGTGAGACAACAAGGTGCAGGGCTGGATGAACACAGCAGGCCAAGCAGCA